GCTTTGCAGGACATGGAGTCGCCAGCACGATCACTTGCATTTGTTTTTCTTATAACAGTGGAAACAACCGTCATTTTTGCTCATAAAGGTAAGAGTAATACATCATTCGGGACTGTTAAGGGTCTACTTTTATTTGTGTGCACTCACAATATCAGCATACGTTGTGCTTTTTTAGAAAACAAACAGGATACGCTTTCTGCTGTCTCGGTCTTGAGCAGGAGCGCTTCACAAAAATGAACCGAAACCCTGCGAATATTCTATTCCCCCTGGGCTGCGGCATTCATCAGGGTAATTACTTGCGTGCGCTTTAACGTGGAACTCTTCCAGCACTCGCTGCTGCGGGACACTAAACACCGTCTGAGCCACTCTTGACAGTCGCGGTAGCACGGTCTCGTGTTGTTTCCACCAGCGCGGCAAATCTTTGTCATCACCATAATAACTGATGGACATCTAAAATATAAAAATAAGGAGGAAGCAAGCCTGATGCCTGGCCCGTGTCTGAGCTATGACGTGTAAATTGTCCCGAAGCCATAAATAAGTTGGGCTGTTGGGCTCGGGCTGAAATGCAGGGCTCTAAAGCGCAGCTTGTTGCATTTAAGCAGCAAAAATACACACAAAATGACACCAAAATGGCCATCCTGGCCACACAGTTAAATACATGATAATATTCAGTGATGTGAAATGTGGAGTAACGTCTGGCGCAGTTGCAGCTTGTACTTATTACTAAAACAAGAAAGCAAACGAGTAGCATTAATAGTCATTCATTTTAGTTAACATATGCTATGATAATTTGAACAGATTTTTATTCTTATTGTAAAATAATGGAACATTTAGGTCATGAATATTGTCTCAAAAGTCATGGAAAAGTAATGAAAATTTTTGGTAAAAATGTGTACGAACCCTGTTAAATATATACATGCATGCGGTTGTTTTTAAATCTACACAGTACACACACACACACACACACACACGTATTACATGAACTTTTCTTTTGGATGCGATTAACGGTGTGACCGCACTAGTTTATTCCCATATTTAGATCCCAGTTTGTGAATGTGGTCTCAGGGTTTTAAATGGCAGTGTTATGTGTGTCAGCTGTGTTTAATAGAGCGTGGGGCCCAAGATGTTGGACCGTGAGGGTAAAGAGGTTCCGGCAAACAGGATACAAGTATTTTGGTGCCGCAAAAGACTTACCAGGAGTCCGAGAGCTGTTCGAGAGAGAGAGCGCAAGATCTGCTGGCTTCTCTTAATATTAGAACTTTGTGTGAGGGGTTAAAGAGATCATCTAGTGATGAGTTA